GGACTTGATTTAGGCAGACGGAGGCAGGAGCGCGATCCGCGGGACGAGGTGACGTCGTGGCCACTCATGTTGGGCGAGGAGCTGGAGAAGACGACGAAGAGCAGGCTGCGCGGGCTCTTGTACGAGGCTGTGGTGCAAGTGCAGTTGAGCGACGCGTGCCGCCTTGACGGCAATCGTCCATGGACTTGGCAGCGGTAGGTCGGCGCGAAAGACGCGATCGTTCCGGACTCGCCAGACGTTGAACCAGACGCAGGCGCGGATCACGGGCCAGAGGTATCGGAACGCGGCTTGGTGCATGCTGGACGCCGTCTTGGGCGTCGAGTAGAGGTAGCCGGAGAACGAGCGTCAGATCGTCCCCTTCCCAAACCAGATCTTATCGGTGTGCTTATGTTTTTTTATTTTCCACACCGTGTACGCAAATTCCACCTCATTGTTGACACGCGAATTGGCGGCTATTTTTAGATCTGCGCCGGCGCCATTTAACCGGTTGACACAATTCTTGCCATGAACCAAACGAGCGACGAGGAGGGCGGCGTGCCCCACTACATGCTCCCCAACTTCTCGTCGATATTGCCCGAGTATGCCAACGCCGAGGCCGAGCACATCAGGAGCGCCTTCTCGACGGGCAACTACCACTCGCTGCTCAAAATGCCAGCCCGGCTCGGCCCCAACAGCGTCAACATGGCGCGGCAAGAGGCCATGGATGAGAACCGCCACACGGCCGTCGCGCTCAAGGCTCCGCCCAAGATCGTGACGAAAAACGGCCTCTTCAACCAGTTTGAGTACACGCCGTCGCGCTTCAACCTAAGCGACGAGCTCCACCGCGCGGTACAAGACAACGCAACACTTTCATTTTCCAGCTTGACAGAATCGTATAGGAACGCCTCGAGTCGGAGGCCAAGCGATTCCAGATTGGCGGCAAGGACTTTGTGTGCAGCAGCAACGCCAAGAAGCTCAAGCACGAAGACGGTTTTGAAGACAAGAATTTTGTGTATCCGCACATGGACGTCTACTACGACGACGCCCACGATATCGCGGTGCGCGAGCGCTGGATTGAGAAGCAGAAGATCTTGTACCACGACTTTGTACCGAGCGGCGCGGCCAAGCCAATGGGCGACGCGCCGACCAAGAAGCTGCTGCCCGACATCATCAAGGAGCTTCACGAAGCGATTGCCAACGACTGGGAAGACTGCACGGTCGTCGTGGCGCCGACCGACGACGGCAACATCGCGGTACAACACTTTCTGTTGCAACCCACTAGGACAACGAGGCACCTATTGTCGTAGATCCAGTTTGATTTGGACACGGTCGGCGGCCTCGAGCATGCACTCACGGCGTACATGAACGTCTTCGCGAATACCCACCGTCTCATGGCCAAGTTCCAGCTGCACAAGGTACCGAACGAAGCGCCGACGACTGTGCAATGAAAGCAAGTAGGTCGTTGAGGACTGGAACGTCAAGCCCGGCGACAACGGCCTCTACTTTGTCGTGCGCCCGCCGTGGATACGCAACCCGCACGCGCCCATGTTTACGTCGCTTACCACCGCCGCCGACGCCAAGGAATAAGTTCTGCATCGCATCATCGTTCGTGCGATCGGTGCATACCGTCATTTCGGTCTCTCGTAAGCATAAACAACCTGTATATATATACGTGCTCGAGCTCTGCTACCTGTATTTTCTGGGAATGAGAACGTGCGGCAAATCGCCTCTTTGCCGCAAGATGATGCCCTCGTCTTTAAAATCGGGGCGAATCCCTCGTACGCATGCACCTAGGTAGGACGATGACGAGGCTGGCACTCGGCGACATTGGAATCGAGGTAGAGCGGAAGTTGAATCAAGAGCCCTTGCACGGAAACCACAATCCGCCGCCTTTCGAGCGTCGAGTACTATTTGGCACTGCGTGCACTGTACCTTGATCCAGCGCGTGCCTGCGTAGGACTTGGACATGCGTACCAAGAAGCAAGGGCCCATGTAATACCTGCACGACGAGGGTTGCTGTGCAATTGCCATCAACAAACCATGCCTGTCTGGAATTTGCTTATCTATACTACCCAGATAGCATGCACAACCACTTGCATCACGAAGCGGTTGTCGGATGTGGCGCACAGCGGACGCGTGGCACGGTGCGAGTGGCGGTACAGTACATTGTGGCGGCGACTGCGTTGTTGGAATCATCCAACGCACGCTTCGGCGGCCTTCGCATGCGGCGGCGGTTGTTACACGAGCCTTTTACCGCACGCCGCACAGAAGCGACAGCAGCACTTATGCGTTGCTACTCGATACAGTGCAGGCAAGGAGCTCCGCACCAACCGTTCGGTGCTACGAGGCGACGTCAACCACGGTACAACGTTAGCGCCTTCACAGCCCCGCGCATTAAACAGTACTCGAAGGCGCCTGTCCGACTTGGCTCTTGGTCCCTTTGGGGCTGATATCCGAATTTCAACTTGAAATTCGGATTTTCGGGGCATAGAAACCGGTTTTCGACGTCCAATTCGGCATGGGTGCATTTAAGGATGCAAAAAAGCGCTCGCCCATTTCGCGACTGCAGTCAACTGGTACACTGTACGACATTGGCCGTTGACCAACGTGACTGCACCGACGACAGCACCTTCTTCTGCTACTGCTGCTCCAGTGTAGTACTACCCATGAGCCAGCGCAGCGAGGACAAGCACCTTCTCGGGTGGGCACGTAGCCTCTGGAAGACAGGCAAGGCACGCAAGACAGGCGGTGTGACGCAAGACGCCGCCGTCAACTCGATGGCGCACCCACTTCGCCGCTGCGAGCCGACGCCGACATCTGCCGCGCGCCACGTGACGGTGCGCACGGCCACGCGGCGGCCACTGAGCAACCTCACGAGCACCAGCGACGACCGTGGCGCTGCGAACCGGAGCACGTGGCCATGGGCGTTCCTCGACAACGTCGAGACGTCGTCGCGCATGCAGCTGGTCGAGCGTGGTCAAGACGCGCTGCGTCTCCTCCAGCGCGAGTGCTCATCGCGCCCATCGTTTGAAGCGCGGCGAAATCCGACCGACCGGGACGAGTCCGTGCTCGCCGTGCACGAGCCGTCGCGGCTTGTCGCGACATACAACCAGCGCACGCAGCTGTACACGGTGACCTCGAGCTTGGACGTCGCGGCCAAGCTCAGCGAAGTGCAGGACCTCGTCGCCGGCAACAACGGCGACATGCTCTTGTACCGCATCTTTGGCGACGACCTCCAGCGGCTCGAGCTCGCGCGGCTCGTCTACACGGACAACGACCTCAATTGCAGCGTGCGCAAGGCCTGGTTCCGCGAGCGCGGCCTCGGGCGCAACCTCAAGGAGCTCTTCTTCCTCGACCACATGGAGCCGCTCTCGGCCACGTCGTTCGGCCGCATCTGCAAATCGGTCGACAGCGGGAGCCACCCGACCAAGCTCAACGCGACCACGGTCCTGCCGCGGTACACCCACTGCCTCTTTGGCCTGCATTTGGAAGCGACGTCGCCCAAGTCGGTGCGGCTCGTCTTCTACGCCGAGCACTGCGTGTACCCGCCGCAGCTCGCGTCGTCGTCCGACGTCCGGTCGCGCCTCGAGAGCATGGGCGAAAACATCCTCGTGATCCAGCAAACGCTGCTTCGAAAGCGGCTCGGCTCCCGGCAGCTGCATCTCGAGCGCCGACCCGACGCGCCGCTGACGCTCGACGCTGCTTGCCGCGTCTGCACCAAGGCCTTTCACTTTTTCCGCCGACCGCTCATCTGCAGCGTCTGCCTCGCGGCGACCTGCCACGAGTGCACGGCGATGGAGGACGTCGAGAGTCCGAACGGGCTCGAGTTTCGCGTCCCGATCTGCTGCGTCTGCGTCGACGCGGTGCAGCACGACGTGGCAAGCACCGTGGCACCCGCGCGCGAGACGCTACTGGACGACGACGGCAACTGGAGCGAGAGCAGCTGGGGCGTCTCGATCGTGCAGGCACCTACCTCGTCGCGCTTTGAGCCCAAGGCGGACGCGGCGTGCACCCAGTGCATGCAAGCGCGGGGGCAATTGCATGCGTGCGGCGTCTGCAGCCAGCTCTTTTGCCGGGCCTGCGTGTCGCCCCAAGCGGTCACGACGCGGCGAGGGAGCCTCTCGACGTTTGACCTCCTCGTCTGCGGCGGCTGCAACCACCCATCACGGCGGAAACCCGTGGACGAGTACCCATGGGACACGAACACGTACATCTCGTACGACGAGGTGTCGCCGCTCTCGTCGCCGACGTCGTCGTTCCTCGCGTCGTCGTCGCACCAGCCGTCGTCGATCGTGCTCGAGAGCGACGCGCGAACGAGTCTCCAGAGCAGCGCGATCGAGGCACTTCGGGAGAGCGCCTGCCTCGACATGGGCTCGACACCGTACCACGATGCGCTCTGCGCCCAAGCCCTCGATGAGCTCGAGGTTGCCCACGCCGCCGTGTGCCTCATCTACAAGGAGGCGTTCATGCTCAAAGGCGTCGCCGGCACCGGGTACATTCCGACCACGATTCCATCGCGCTGTGAGCTCAACCTCGCCACGCTCCAGTCGCTCGACGAGCCGACCATCGTACCAGACGCGTCCGTGGACGTCCGCTTTAAAGACTCGCCCCGTGTCCTCGGAAAAGAGTCGATTCGATTCTTTGTGGGCATGCCGATTGTGACGCTCGAAGGCATTTTGCTGGGTACCGTCACGATCGCTGACACGGCGCCACGCCTGCGCTTCCACGCCCAACACATTCAAGCCATGTACAAGTTTGCACAAGCCGTCGTCGACCTTGTCGAGTACCGGCACCGGACGTCGACCGCGCTCTCGAAAAGCAGCACCGAGTCGGACCCGTAGGCCCGTGTAACAACAACCCATGTAGTCTAGTCGTCTTGTAGCATACTACGTTCTATGTTGGCCAACGGCGGTCGGCTCTCCTTGTTGGTGTGGTGCAGCGTGGTCGTTGCGTTCTCTGTCGCGCGGGGTAGGGGTTCGTGGTGGTGACGTGCTGCTGGTTATGATTCTAGTACATTGGTCCCGTCCTCCGTGAATTTATTTACACGAGCCCAATGGCGAGCAACCGCTATGACCTCGTAGGTAGGAGCATCTCGAGATGGCAAACGACTGCCCACGGGCTCGACGTCGACGGGGTTAGGGTTTCATTGTCTCGTGCATTTCCTCCATCTCTGGACCATCGTAAGCACTTGAACAAGCCAACAAGAGACACATATACACGTATACATAGAGACGTCGATTGGCACGGAGCATCCAACTACATGGTCTGGACGCGGTGGACGATGAGCGCGGCGGTGGACTCGGCAAACCAGATCATGGCTTGGTGCTGCTTGGAGGAAATACGCACACGGGCGTGTGTGTCGGCGACGGCGACGGTGCCGAGGAGCACACCTGAAGGTGACACGAGCGGGAGGCCGTAGTAAAAGCGGATGCGCTCGTCGCCGAGCACGCGCGGCGAGTGCGCGAACCGCGGGTCCATCTCGGCGTCCGGTAGCATCAGCGGCACTTGGCAGCTGTGGCTCGATAGAATACAGTCCCGCGGGATCTGTGTCGGCGCGTCGGCATCCGATCGGTCGCCGGACGCCGCGCCTTTGAGCACAAAGTCGCCCTTATAAATCAACACGACGAACCCGTACGCGCAGTCCATGCGGGTCGCGATCGTGTGGCACATGCTATCGAGTGCGTCGTTGGACGCCATGTCGAGGAACGCGACGACACGCAAGGTCTCTGCTTCGATCGCATCTTGCGCGTCATTGGTTGCAGTCGACCGCGCGTCCCGGGGCAAAACGTTCGTGCTTGGCGCCGTCGACCGGACGCTTGGCACAGCGTTCTCGTTGCTCTGGACACTGCTCGATGCGACTTGTTTCTTGGTCGACGGCGTGTCGTGGAGGAGGAGGCGGGCGTTCGAGACGGCGCCGAGCGAGACGACGTGCTTGGGCGAGGCTTGCTTTGGCTTGGGCTTGGGTAGCGCGAGGAGCGACTCGGTGTGGAAGGCGACACCGTTGAGCACGATCGGAGACGTCGCGGCGAGCGGGTGCCCCTCCTCGTCGTCGTCGTCGTCGTCGGCGCGGTGCAAGGTCGTGTTCATGACGCTCGCGTTGTCTTCGGACGCGTTGCTGCCTTCGGCGTGCATCGGCAATGCAAACGTGTAGCCATCCGCCGTGGTGTTGTCGAACCCGTTCTCGTCGACGCTAAAGCTCGACCGGAGCTCCGACTGCTCGCTGAGACGGTGCGGCTCGTGCTGGAAGCGCGGCTCGTTGGTGCTGCTGTGCCGCGAGTACCGTGCTTCGTTCGCACGGTCCGTCGAGAGCCGCCCCGCACTGCCTCCTTGGACGGTTGGTGCATTCGGATTCGGATTCGGATTCGAGTTGGGATTCGGATTCGGATTCGGGTTGGCCACGAGGTGCTTGACGGCATACGACGCCGTGTCGATAAAGTCGGACGCGGTAAAGTTGTTATTGTTGGCCGTCGTCGTCTCGGCCGGTGGCTTTTCGTAGACGGATATCCGGTCGCGCTTGTGCGACGGCGGGCCAGTCACCGCTTGCGTCGTCGACGCGAGGCACTGGAGGCAGAGCCACGCCTCGAACGCGATGCCATGCCGGTTCGTGTACTGCTGGATGCGGCAGCAGTGGGCGCAGCACGACTGTCGACAGAGCCGGCACGTGGTCGCCGACGTCGTCGTCGGTTGCCGGCAGAGGCTGCACGGGTCCGTCTCGGGCACGATCGGCAGCGGCATCATGCTGCTTTTCGGGTGCTCGTCGTCGTCGTCGTCGTGATCGGCGTCATAGTACCCGACCGAGTGGCGGTTCGCCGACGACCGGGACACACGGTGGTGCGACGAGAGGTGCGAGCTCATGGACGCGCGCGTGCTCTGCGTGCGTGCTTGCCGCGTCGTCTTGCAGAGGCGGCAGATGCACACCTCGTAACTGGCACCGCCGGCCATCGCGATCGGCTCGAATTTGAAGCAGTCGGAGCACACGGGCAGCGCGCAGTACTTGCAGTACGTGCGCTTCCGAAAGAGCGAAAACGACTTGTGGCACACGTGGCACCACTTCTTGGCGTCCATCTTGTCGTCGGTCGTCCACGGCAAGGCCGACTCGATGTGCTGGCGTTCGCAGATGCGCTTGACGAGGTGCACGGACGCCGCGAGCTTCTCGAGCAGGTGCTTGGTGTCCTTCCACGACTGCTTTTGCTGGACGCTAATGCAATAGTCGCCGTAAAAGCTAATGCGGAGCCGGTCGCCGCGCCCGAGCCGCTCGACGTGGTAGCCAAAGAGCACGTGCTTGTAGCGCTCCATCGCGCTCATCGGCCCGCTCTCGTTGTCGATCGTCTTGAAGACGCGCGTGACCGCGCGTTCGTTCGGTTGGATGTGCATAAAGTCCATGTACAATAGCTCTTTCGACACCTTCTTGAAAAAGTGCGTCTCGCGCAGCTCGGCGGTCGCGATCGCCGCCACGTGGTTGAACGTGTTGCCGTCGTCCATGGCATCTGTCGACGTGCCCGCCTCGGACAGCGGCGGCTTCTCGTGCACGTAGCCGTCGGGCGACACCGCGAGCGCGCGCAGCGTCGCGGTCCCGACGAGGTGGCCGCGGAAGACGCGCGCGAGGAAGCTCGCATAGTCGTCGCCGTGCTTGCCGACGAGCACGTCAAGCACTTGGGGCATCGACCCGGCCATCTCGACCATCGCGTTGACGCTAAAGAGATTGCGGCTGCTGTCTTTCTTGGCGAAGACCTTCTCGTCGAGCGAGCCCGCGTGCTCGAGCGAATTCCGCGCCTTGCACTCATGCGCGACATGGTGGACGAGCGACGCGCCGCGCCGGAGGAGCACCTCGTGCGGCATGTCCGCGCGGTAGTCGCGGAACGTCCACGGCCATTTCGTGCGCGACGCGACGCCCGGGCCGCTCTCGCGCGCAGCGCTGCCGACGATGTCGAGGACGTCGCTGTACTTGAGCGGCATGTGAAAACTGGTCGTCGCAAAAACAGCCTCGCAGTCACGGCTCATTGGCCACCTGGCACGGCGTGAGTCACGCTGCCACCACCTTGCCGTTGGTCGTCGCCCCGCCGAAGGAGACAGGCGGCGCATCGACGCAGGCCGCGTGGATCGCTGCCCTTGGCCAGAAGTACCCAGACGCGCCGCGGTACACATGCGGCTCGTCGACGGGTAGCGGGTTGGCGGTCCGTGGGTGCGACGACGCCAACGACGGCGCGCCGGCAACGATGGGCCGACGGAGGATGGGCCAGCGACGGATCGACCGACGGCTAGGATTACGGTGCAACATCATAGTACTCGTCGCTGCAGGAGTAGCCATGCTACCGTTCTCTGGAGATGGCAGCGACGCAAGACCGGATGGATTTTTTTAAAGCATTCAAGAAAACGATACGACGACGACGACGACGACGACGGGTCGGAGGCCTGGCGGCGATCGTTGATCGGGTACAGGAAGCGCGTTGGTGGGTCTTTACCGCTGCGGCGGCGGCGCCATGCCCACAACGGGACGGACGTTGTCCATGCTAGAGACAGAGCATGATTCGTCGCAGTCCCGTTATGCACGATGAGAGGACCACCCTCACGGGTACGTACGCAATCGAAATCTTGAAGTTCATGCCCTTTGGCACCTCAAACTTGGTCGGGTGCTCCAAGCTGTGCTTGGCCCAGTTGGGCATCGCGGTTGCGGGTCGGCGCCGCGGAGGCCGGCCACCGCGACGCACGGGCGGTTCGGGTGCCTGGGCCACGCCACGTCGCTGCGCATGACGTGGTATGAGGTACTATGCACGTAGGAATGTATGGCATACCTCGTTGACAGCGGATCGCCGCTTTTGCTTGGCGTGGGCCTGCGCGAGCTGCTGCTTCTAGCGCAGGATATCAGACCACCCGAAAGAAGATATGGCGGCGTACCTTGACCGGCGGGATCGTCTTGGCCTTGACAGACTCGCGCGCCTTCTTCTTCTTCTTGGACGCAATCAGATCGTCTATGCAGGCGACTGAGCGGCAGCGCGAGACGTCCGATGGTACCCAGAGACATGGTGAGCGGGTCGGCGCCCGCTGTCGGCGACAACGGGGCGTTGGCTCTCGACGGCGAGACCTTAGCTTTCGACGGCGCGGGCCGGCCCTTCGCTGGCTGGCGCGACTTGATGAGATCATCTACGTGGCGGCGTGAGCGAGCGACAGCGGCGGCGGACCGCACCGAGGGACATGTCCATCGCTCCACGTGGTGTCTTTGGCACGGAATATAGAACGCTCGCAACCCAGGGTATTTTGCCCGATCTTCGGTATACATAGGTCCAGTACAATGTTTTAAACAGACCTTTCACCAAAGCAACACGCAGTGGTGCCACGCCAAGTTCCCTTGTGCCACGCTGTCGCCACGCTCGCTGTCCGAAGGAGCCACTGCCATGCTATCACCTCGTCAAGTGCAACGCTGGACGCGAGCAGATCCGGCCTTTGGCTCCATCCCTAGCACCAAAGAAACACGACAATTAAAAGAATGCTGAGAGAGCCGTGCACGTCGTGTGTCCAGGCGCCTCTCGGGCTCTGCAACGGCGGCTCGAGGCAGCTCTCCAACTAGCGTTGTCCGGCTGCGAGACACCGGCCATGGCGTCGCTGGCCAAATTGTTTTAAACCTGTTTGGTATAACCTCTGAAAAAGCAACTATCGGCGTATCGAGTTTGACAGTATTGAAAACCATTGGAAACGACACGCGCAGAATTTCCCCCGTCGATACGACCACGTGCAGCATGAAGAAGAGCGTCTTCCTTGCCTTCGCCGAGGACTCGGACGATGACACGGCCATTAGCCAGCACTACAGCGCCAACGCAGACAAGGCCGCCAAGCAGACCAAGCAGAAGGAGAAGCAGAAGGCCAAGAAGCAGTACGCACGCCATGCGCGCGATGCGTCATAGCTCATGCTCGCGTAGAGAAGAGCTCACGCTCAAGAGCTTGGCCATGTGCGCGACGTCCAAGAAGTCCAAGAAGAAAAAGAAAGGTGCGTCGGCGACGGCCACGCTTGCAGACGACGACGAGGTATGCTCGCCATAGACGAAGCCATGCGTGACCGTGTTGCAGCTAGCGGCGCCCGAGCCAGAGCCAGTTGTAGAGACGCCGGCGCCGCCGCCCATGTCGTTTGCCGACAAGCTCCGCGAAGCCCAAACCAAGCCAAAGGCCCCGGTTGTCGCCGAGCCCAAGCCGCGCGCCGTTGTTGTTGAACTCAAGCCCAAGCCGGTGGTCGTTGAACTCAAACCCAAGCCGGTGGTCGTGGAACTAAAGCCAAAGGTCGTGTCGCAGCCGCCGCCCGAAGCAAAGCCCAAGCCAGTAGCGCAGCCGCCTGCGACCAAGGCCAAGCCCGCGGTGCAGCCCAAGGCCAAGCCGGCTGCTGCACCTGTCGTTGCCAAGCCTGCGCCGGTTGCGATCCCCGAGCCCAAGTCCAAACCGGCTCCGCTAGCAACGCCCGCTGCCCCGACGCCTGCTGTTGTCAAGCCGACGCCGACATCGGCTGTCAAGCCTGCCCAAGCGCCGGTTGCCAAGCCGGCGCCGGTGGTCGAACAAAAGCCCATCAAGCAGCCCGTGGCCGAGCCAAAGCCCAAGCCATCCCCCGTAGTCGAACAACCCAAGCAGAAACCCGTGGCCCCTGTAGCGGAGCCCAAGCCCAAGGCGCAGACGGTATGTCGCCACGTTTCCATATCTCCGCCTGAACCATAATGGCTCAAATATGGCTCGTTAGGTCGCGTCGCCGGCGCCCATCGTGCCACCCCCCACGCCTGTTGCGATCCAGCAGCGTACCTCGCCGCGCCACGAGCATCCGGCAGCTGTGCGTCCGTCGAGCGGCTCGGCCACGCCACCGCCGTCCTTGTCGCCGCCGTCGCTGCACAGCCCCAAAATCAACTTGAACGCAGTGTCCTACCACCCGAAACACATAACCGTCTTCATTCCTGGCCAGGTACGACGCTCCATCCCCACATATCCTTGTCTCATCATCGACGACTGCACGCGTAGGCAGAAACCGTGCTGGACGTGGACGAAGTCATGTCCCGCGCGCAGTACTTCAAGCAGACAGCCGAGTCGCTCATGGCTGTCAACCGCAACGGCGAAATGGAGAACGCGCAGCTCCGGGACCACTTGTCGCGGTCGCTCCTCCGAATGGAGCAGCTCGAGCACGAGAATCGCCTCCTGCAGCAGCTCAACATGACGCTCCAGACGGAGCTCGCGACGCTCCATGGCCACCTCAAGCCGCAACTCAGCATGCGTCCGCCCGGGCTCTGAGCCGCTTTTCGCTAGGCACTTTGGCACGTCCTTAGTTATTTAGATTTAGAACCTAACGAACCCACGGCCCTAGTTTTCGACGTGTGGTGTGTTCAAAACAGCACACGTGTTTAAAACACAGTAGTGGCGTGGATGCAGCGGTGGCTGCTGGCGCTGAGCCTGGCGATGGTCCGTGGCCGCAACAACATGTACTGCGGGCAGCGCGAGTGCTACGACCTGCTCGGCGTCGAGCGGACCGCGTCGGCGACCGACATCCGCAAGCAGTACCGAGCGCTGTCGCTCTCGGTGCACCCGGACAAGAACCCAAGCGTCGACGCAGCCGCTGCGTTCCAAGCGCTCGCGACTGCGTACGAGGTGCTCACCGACGCATCCAAGCGCGCCGCCTACGACCACTACCTCGACCACCCGCAAGACTACGCGTACAACTATGGCATGTACGTCCAGTACGCGTACGCGCCGCAGTCGGACGCCCGCGTCATCGTGCTGGCGTTCGTGCTCTTCCTATCGCTGTGCCAGTACCTCGCCCAAGTCCAGCGCCACAAGCAAGCGGTCGCGTACTTTCGCCAGGTACTCGTCGCGGCCTCGTACTCGATCCGATTGATGATGTACGTATTAGTCGGACACGGTCAAGCGCCAGGCCATGGCCCTGCAAGCCGAGCGCAACGCTGGCCTCAAGCGCGCCAAGGACAAGAAGGCCAAAGACGCGGCCAAGGCCGAGCTCGAGGCCATCACCGACGAGCTCATGGCGTCCACCGAGATCTCGGGCGGCTATGAAAAGCCTGCGTAGATCGCTGCATCGACCGCGTCCACTCATTACGTCAATAGGCTGCGCAAGCTGCTGCTCATTCGGCTCGTGCTCCTGCCCTACTCGCTCACACTCTACGTCGTGTGGCGAGTCCGGTGGTGGTACAACTACGCGTACCTGCGCCGGCCGTACGCGCCAGAGGCGGCGCTGTACTTGACGTGCAAGGCCTTGGTAATGGATCGTCCAGGGGCTCACCTTAAAGAATCTCTCTTCTAGGACATCACCGAGGACTATTTCCACAGTGAACAATTTCCCCACAACCGAGACGACGTGCTGGCTCGGTGCGTGCACAATATTGTCCATTCGCCTCCTTGATCATCTCGACCGCAGGCAACTCTGGGAACCACACCACCTCGCGACCTTCCAGAAGGAGCTCGAGGACGACTGGAAGCTTTTGCGCCAGCGGAAGAAGGCCGGCGACGAGTCCTCCTAGCACTTCACCGCACGCAAGACACCCCATAATCAGCAGCGTGGCGGGTGGACGATGATGATAGAGTCGTATCAAGGTAGCAATGTATCAAGGTAGCAATGTATCAAGGGAGTCATGCATCGAGAGAAATACAGAGGACCACGCATTACGTGAGGGACGTGCCCGTGACGCAGCCAAGCTTTGGGTGGTGGGGCGCGAAAAAGTAGGCCTTGCGCGCGAGGACGCGGCGCAGCATCGGCTCGAAGAACGACAGCGCGTACTTGTCTGCGTCCGGATCGAACGCCGCCTGGTCGTACTTGTGGCAAAAGTCGACGGTCGCGGCAAACTGCGGGTGGTCCGCAAACTGCTGGCGC